CAGTTTTAAAATGTTAATACTAACACAGTTTTAAAGTGTTCATACTAACACAGTTTATAGTGTTCATACTAACACAGTTTTAAAATGTTCATACTAACACAGTTTTATAGTGTTCATACTAACACAGTTTATAGTGTTCATACTAACACAGTTTTAAAGTGTTCATACTAACACAGTTTTAAAGTGTTCATACTAACACAGTTTTAAAGTGTTCATACTAACACAGTTTTATAGTGTTCATACTAACACAGTTTTAAAGTGTTCATACTAAAACAGTTTTATAGTATTCATACTAACACAGTTTTAAAGCGTTCATACTAACACAGTTTTATAGTGTTCATACTAACACAGTTTTATAGTGTTCATACTAACACAGTTTTATAGTGTTCATACTAACACAGTTTTAAAGTGTTCATACTAACACAGTTTTATAGTGTTCATACTAACACAGTTTTAAAATGTTAATACTAACACAGTTTTAAAATGTTAATACTAACACAGTTTATAGTGTTCATACTAACACAGTTTTATAAAGTGTTTATAAATAATATTTTTTCTTGTAGCTGATTTTGATGGATCGACCCAGTGCTTGGCTGTGACCGAAGGTATCTGTATCTATCTTTGTATTTTTATGATATGTCATATCAACAATATAAAGCTAAACCTTAATAGTGGACACCACATTTGTATTCGGTACATAAAGTAAACTATTATTGATTTTTGAAGTATTAGTACTGTTCTAGTCACTCAATGTCGAAACTTCTGCATGTATTTAAAACTTGAGTCCCATTCTACAGTCGTCGTGCTAAGATTTTGGTGTTTTCTTCAGACTCCTCCAGGAAGGGAAAGAACACCTGGTCGTTACTACGACTGGTAAGTATCTCAGATGGTCTGTGGAAAAAGCGATACTGGTATTTTTGTCGGAGTAAAGTATTTTTCATAATGAAGACGTTTAGATATTTTCGACAATAAAAGTTGGAATAAACGATTAATTCTCTACAAATGATAAAAAAGAAATATTTATATTGCAACCTATAAGTTTTTCACAACACCTGATAAAGCCATAATTGGGGAATGTAGGTTGCAATAATTTTTTTAGTATCTCGTAAATAGTTTTTTTTTCAAGTTTTCATTGTCGAAAAGGAATAATATATTGTTTAAGTATTTCCTTTGTTTATATCATTGAGTGTAGTTTACGTATTTCCTTTGTTTATATCATTGAGTGTAGTTTACGTATTTCCTTTGTTTATATC